CCCTCACCTTTACCGCCCTTCCTTTTCCCCCCCCCCCCTCCCACCCTTTCCGCCCCCCAAAAAAGTACCAATAATGACAAAAGAAAAAAAAAAGAAAAAAATAATAATTTTGAAAAATTAAGATTCGTAAAGTATCTTAATCATAAGATACATGTGCTGTCTGAAATTCAGTCACATTTGTCTACTTAAAAACTGTGACATTTCCTACTTAAAAAATGGGACAAATGTATCTTAAATTCAGTAAGAACTTTTTGTAGTGAAACCCAACAGCAACACATGTCTCAATTCACGGTCACCACAATCAACTATAACGTGAATTCTCCAAAATTCATGAGATATTCTTTCGGGGAAAATCATCCAATGATTTTTCCTCAATTAACGACGATCTTGCTGGACGTCTAACGTCAGTCCAGTCCTTCTCCTCTAACCGACAAGTTCGTCACCTGAACCCCAACTTCTGGTCCAGTATGGAGAGTAGTCCGCCATGTTTCATATCCCTAGCCATTTCGAATGTTAGCGACGCAACTCGATCATCCACATAACTCCCTCCGCCGCGGGAACCATTCAACCAATTTGAATGTAACGTGGTTCAATACCCGTGTTTGACCTCTGAGACTCCATGACTCGCTACTTGAGAATGGAATTTCCTCTCCAGCTCCTTATAAACTGTCCAAGGCTCCAAATCCCTCGATGTCGTCCGATGAGCAGTCAATATGGCTTGATACAAAACAATAAGGTGTAAATAAAAAAAATAATCAAGATAAATGAAATGAACTCTCGCCGCGCTAGGAAAAAAAAATGACTTCTCGTCGGGACGTTGAGATTTCAACGTCGAACGGTCGAAAACAATCAAAGAGACAATCAAAAAAATTTCAACGCCACTTAATCGGAAAATTCTAATAATCATTATTAGTATTCACGTCATTATATATCTCAGGGGTATGCACGTTATTGGAATGTACATGGAAATCCTTCTAACGACTCTCAAAATTGATATCATAACCCTTTCTGTCGTTGTTACATCTGTAGGTGCAGTTGCAATTATTGGCAGTCTTGTGACGACGTACACAAATGACCACGTTGGGAGACGGATTATGCTTGCAGTTTCTGCTCTGGGACTTTCTGTCAATTTCCTTCTCATAGGTATCAAATTCCTATTGGTCAAACATGATTATGATACCTCTAGCATTCAGTGGTTAATTATTGGTAAATTCTTTCTCTTCATACATATTCTTTGTGAACCTCGAACTGATATTCCGTGTTGTGAGCGAAATTTTCCCGACAGAATTACAAGAGATTGGCGCATGCGTAGTGAGTGTTATGAGCTCTCTCACCGGTTTTGTCGTGGATAAAAGCCATCAGCCTATATTAAATGCTACATCCGCAGAATTTATGTTCTTCTATGCTTCATTGTCATTTTTTATGTTCATGTATACAATCATCTTATTGTCAGTATCATCTTTCTGGTTATCTTTCCTTCTTTTCCGGATAGTGCATATTATCTTGTTCAACAAAATAAAATAAAAGAAGCAGAAAAATCACTGAAGTGGTACAGTCGTCAGGATGATGACAGCTGAGCTAGATGCAGTGATAGTTTATGTGGTTAAGCCCTAGACATTGACACTTGAAGAGTCATTCAAAAAACTGTCAACCCCCCTGAATCTGAAAACATTGGGGATGGTTATCGCCATCTATCTGTTTCTGCAACTCAGTGGGATATACACAATTGCAAGTTACCTGGAAATACTCTTAACGACTCTCAAAATTGACGTCATAGCGCCCTCGCTAGCAGTGATATGCGTAAGTGTAGTTGCAGTTATTGGCGGTCTTGTGGCGATCTACACGAATGATCATTTCGGGAGGCGAACCATGCTCGCATTCTCAACAATGGGGGTTTCCGTCAACTTTATCCTCATAGGCATCAATTATCTACTGCTCAAATATGATTATGACATTTCAAATTTCCAATGGTTTATAATCGCGGAATTCATGTTATTCGTATTCTTGCTGAATATCGGAATTACGCATATCCCTAGTTGTCTCTTGAGCGAACTTTTCTCACCCGAGATCAAGGAGATCGGCTCATGCATAGTGAATATTGTATGTGCTTTATCAGCATTTATTGCGACTAAAAGATATCAGCCTTCATTAGATGCTACGTCCGAAGAATTCATTTTCTTCTTACATGCATTCCTCGTTTTTCTCATGTTTGTCTATACAATAGTTGTGATTTCTGAAATGAAAGGGACATCGCTGCAAGAGATCCAAACGATGTTGATGAAGAAAAAAACTGAAAAATAAACAATAAAAAATTGAAAACCCCGATGACAAATTTGTGAAATAACTAATTTAAAAAAGGAAAAATTTTAACTGAAACTGTGAGATATACCTCTATAAGATCACACCTCTCTTTTTCTACTCTTCAATGATCTTGAATTCCAGTGAATTTTAGTAGTAATAGTCAAAGAACTCCAGAATTTTCTTCAGAATTATTCCAATTTACCCAAAATGTAACTTCACCACAGTTGTTGATCAGAGGATACGTCAGATATTTGAGACCGACACCGAGACGAGACAGAAAGAAATGGGAGCGAGACGATTTCGGGAGGCCATTAACTATCCATTCTGAAACTAAAACGAGACATTAAATCTCAATCTCAATCTCAATCTCGTCTCGTCGGCTCTCGTGTGTCTCTCTCGACTTCGAGAAGAATGGTGATGATGATGATGAACATCTCATGTTGATTCGATGGAAAATCAATACCATATCAATTATAATGTGTATATTCTCAATTTAAATGTCGCATGTCTGAATACAATGAAAATATAATGAGTAAGTCTAAAATTTTTGAAAAAATGAAAAACTGGCCTCGAGGACACTCAGGGCTGTACATGACAGCGCATTCGCGATAATGCAGAAATAATCATTTTTTGTTCATGGATAGTGAGGCACATTACTTTCGCCAGTGTGATATAACTGGTATAAACAAAGGCTAAGCATATGCATAGACAGTAATACAATGATAGTCGGCTGTGACGACGCATCAGTCAGAAATTTCGTTAGGTGAAATTGTTAGGTATTTGTTTCATAACGCTCACTATTCGATAGTTGATGAGATTGCATGGATTGAATTAATCAACCTGACATCCTGAACTAAGATGAATCTGGAAGAAAGTTCGAAATTTTGGCCTCAGTGGTTTGCTGCAGCAACAGGTAAACCGATTGATGGCAAAAGCTTCATGTCAACATACAGAAACTGGGAACACATTCCAAAATCTTCGTCACAAAAACCTGGTTAAAACAACTTTGGGAAAGTGAACTTTTGGTTAATTCAACTTTTGTCAAATTCAACTTCCGTCAATAAAACCTCCCGGTTACCTTTTGTGAGAATATAAAAGAATTGTATGTAGATTATTCTTCTCTATTGTGAGGATAGAAAAGAGTAATCGATATTTCTCATTTATTTTATTACAATGGTATTTTATCGAGAAGGGGCACTACTCCGAGGTATTTGAGAGGGAGTACTTCGAAGTTTATGCTTTAAATGATCATTTGTTAGATTCCGTTAGGTTGTGGATATAAATAGTTGTGTTATTTCCTAATATTTATGTATTTGTGTCAAATCACTTGTTATTGAGACTCTATATTCTAAAAAAATTCGAAAAGAATTAAAATTTAGAGAGAAAAAATTTCCGCTTCACCCAGCCGGGAATCGAACCCGGGTCTCCCAGATACGCGCCGGGCACTCTTACCGACTAAGCTACCGGGAACCACAGAAATTCACTCTCAAATTCACCTCATACACCGCCTAACCTCCTTGAGGCATTAAAGAATTCTAAGAGAATTGGAATTTAGAGAGAAAAAATTTCCGCTTCACCCAGCCGGGAATCGAACCCGGGTCTCCCAGATACGCGCCGGGCACTCTTACCGACTAAGCTACCGGGAACCACAGAAATTCACTCTCAAATTCACCTCAAACACCGCCTAACCTCCTTTAGGCATTAAAGAATTCTAAGAGAATTAGAATTTAGAGAGAAAAAATTTCCGCTTCACCCAGCCGGGAATCGAACCCGGGTCTCCCAGATACGCGCCGGGCACTCTTACCGACTAAGCTACCGGGAACCACAGAAATTCACTCTCAAATTCACCTCAAACACCGCCTAACCTCCTTTAGGCATTAAAGAATTCTAAGAGAATTAGAATTTAGAGAGAAAAAATTTCCGCTTCACCCAGCCGGGAATCGAACCCGGGTCTCCCAGATACGCGCCGGGCACTCTTACCGACTAAGCTACCGGGAACCACAGAAATTCACTCTCAAATTCACCTCAAACACCGCCTAACCTCCTTTAGGCATTAAAGAATTCTAAGAGAATTAGAATTTAGAGAGAAAAAATTTCCGCTTCACCCAGCCGGGAATCGAACCCGGGTCTCCCAGATACGCGCCGGGCACTCTTACCGACTAAGCTACCGGGAACCACAGAAATTCACTCTCAAATTCACCTCATACACCGCCTAACCTCCTTTAGGCATTAAAGAAGAGTGAACAATCGTTCACTCTGAATACGATATTTGCAAATTTAATGTTATTTTTTGCATTATTTTTCGGGAATTTTTCAAAGTTTCTTTCAAGTTTTTCGAAGTTCCAGCAGTTTACTTCCTTCAAGTTTTTTTAGTGAACAAGTTGTTTTCATGAAGTTTCTCTAACGGAATTTTTTTAAACATGGACCCTAGAAACTAATTTTTCATTTTGCAGTTACTGTACTTGCTCTTCTACATGGGCTAACAGCTGGATGGAGTTCACCATATTTAGCGAAATTGACACAGGGAACGGAATCTTTGACAATCACTAATGACGAAGCATCGTGGGTGGCCTCCTTGCATCACATATCTCGGCCTGTGGGTTCAATCACTGGTGCTGCGATAGCACACAAATTTGGGAGTAGGAAAGGAATACTTCTTGCGGGAGTTCCACATGGTGTTGCATGGACCTGCTTTCTAATAACAGAATCAGTTCCTTTGATTTATACATCGAGAGTATGCAGTGGTCTTGCGATAGGGATATATTTAAGTACTTTTCCACTTTATATTGGTGAAATAAGTAATACGAAGATCAGAGGTTCTCTTATAAGTGTAGTGATCCAGGGAGCTAGCATTGGATACCTAATAGGAAATATTTTGGGAGCATATCTATCAATGAAAATTTTCGCCATCATAGGTCTTACAATCAGTATCATTTTTATCGTACTTGTTTCCTTAATTCCGGATAGTTCACATTACTTAATGAAGAGAAACAAATATGAAAAAGCAGAGAAATCGTTAAAGTGGTACGTTGGCAAAAAAGATGTGACAGTTGAACTGAACGCATTGATAGCTTACATAGGCGAACCGCAGAAATTATCAATTAGAGAGACATTCCAGAAATGGTTAACCCCACTGAATCGCAAAGTTCTGATAAATATGCTTTGTATTCACGTTGTCATGCATCTTGGTGGCATCCATGTCATTCGACTATACATGGAAATTCTTTTAATAACTCTGAAAATTGATATCATTGCTCCATCTCTAGCAGTCGTATGTGGAGGAATAGTTACAATTATTGGTGGTCTTACGGCGATCTACACGACTGATCACTTTGGGAGACGGACTATGCTCGCAATTTCTTCTCTGGGGGTTTCGTTCGTCTTCTTTCTCATAGGTATCAAATTTCTGCTGTTCAGGTGTGATTATGATATTTCGAGTGTCCAATGGTTAGTTATTACTGAATTCATGCTGTACATGTTTTTTTTGAATATTGGACTCGCGTGTATTCCATGTTGTCTGGTGAGTGAAGTTTTTCCGACAGAATTAAAAGAAATTGGCGCATGCGTAACAAGTGGTGTGGGTGCTGTCATAGCATTCATCGTGAGTAAAAATTATCAGCCCATATTAAACGCTACATCCGAAGAATTCATATTCTTCCTTTACGCTATACTTCTACTTTTCATGTTCATCTATACATTTGTCTTCGTTCCAGAAACTAAAGGTAAATCGCTTCGAGAGATTCAGGAGATGTTAATGGAGAGAAATGAACGAACTGATTGAAAATATCAGTGTGCAACATACATTGTCACGCGTGTGGAAGCTAACCATAATTATATGTATTCAATAAAGGAAAATGCGATAGCAAAACTGTTCTCTCACCGTCGTGTATTGTGCAGAAATTTCAACCCCCCCCCCCCCTATATGATTCTTACAAACGTTTGACGTCGGTAAGGAGGGAAGGGGTCTATCTGAACTGTCTGCCATTGTATTTAGGATTTTCTAGACTATGCAACCAGTGGCTGAGCAAGGCTCAAACTAGATGAGCTTTAGGTCATTTTTAAGCTGTCCGACAAGAAGGGAAAAATTCTCTCAATTCACTTGTTCATAAGGCTATTCTGACACTATTCCCTCAATAATAAATTGAAAAAACTGCTCTTACCAACTAGCTACTCCATTGGAATCATATGAAAACAAGATTTTTAAAAACAATATCACGTGGTCTTTGCTTGTTTACAAAGATCAACATAATCTAAAACCAAATTCCAAAGTTGATTGCTGGAACAATGATCATAATGATGAACACCTCATCTTCAGGTACTATGTACTGAATATAGAAAAGCTATACCATATCGATCATGATTTATACATTCCGTCCCCAAATGAGATTGCATTTATCACCATATAATATAAAGAGCGATTCGAGAATTTTCCAATGTATGAAATACTAGGGTTTATGACATCTAAGACTGCACATAATAGATCACTCGTGATAATGTAAAAAGAATAGACCTAACTCATCGATTAGTGGGGGTCATAAATCTTACCTGTACTATGTAACTGTTGGAATTCATGCCTGAATACAAAAATTAATTTCTTAGTTTAGTTAAACATTTTCTCTTTTCCACCCAAACACTCAGGGTGACATTTATGGCTTTTCTTAGAAAATAGAGACGTGAAGAAAAACAGTCCTCATGGTGAGTCACAAAGGAGAGGCTGAAGAAAATTGAAACAAGGGCCTTTTGTCAAATGGGTCCAGAGAGTGAAAACTCTCATGACTTTTAGTTAGTCGTCCTAGAGACTTCGTTGGAGAAAGATATACCTTCTGCGTGCGATCATTAAAGAGTTTTACTTTGAAGAATAAAACTAATGTGTTTTTATTGAGTATTCCTACACATAATCCAATAGTAACCGATCTAAGCAGGAACTGAGCATAAACTCGTGCAGTCTCGCAGTAATTGTTAGTGATATCTCATTATCAGTCATTTCGGTATATTAAGCAAGTATTCGTTAGAGATCATTGAATTTTTCACATTGCAGTTTTTCTCATCATTTGTCAGTTGATGTAACTTTATAATTTAAAGGAATCAACCATGACAACAACGATTGAAATGATTTCGGAAGGATTGTCGAAATTGTGGCCTCAATGGCTTGCTGCAGCAATAGGTAAGTCAATTAATTGAAAAAGCTTCATCTTAACATTGAAACGTCTTTCTCATACTTTGTTTTAAGTGTTTTCATTTACACATTCAAGTTCTACGAGAAAGGCCTCGTGCTGAATCAGGACTAGCGGCACTGTCTCCGGTGAAGTGAAAGCGCAATTGAGCCTACGATCCTACTATTCCGCTAAAAAGAGCTTCAAAGAGCGCAAACTTCAATTCAAGAAAACGCAATGAAAATTTTTTTGTACACAAAATTTCCACCGTGTCTTCATTTAGTTTAAAATTGTCTCCGATTTCATTGAAAAAAAAAAACAATTATTTGAGAAGATACGAACACATGGACAAATATCTTCTCAATTCGCAAAGTTTAGTGGACATGGTAGTAGTGTGCGTACGCTCACTGAATATAATGTGCAGCGTACATTATACTCAGTGAGCGTACGCACACTACTACCATGTCCACTAAACTTTATATAATGTGCAGCGTACATTATATTCAGTGACGCTCCCACGTCGGAGCTGCATGCTAGTAGAATATCAGCAATCCGAAATATTATTTCCGTAATATTCTTTCTATGATAAAAAAAAATAACAATTCAAACGGATGATCTTAAATCGAAATAACGTGCTTAATTGAATTATTTAATAAGCGTTTCAAAAACGAGTGAGATCACATGAAAAAAACAGATCGTAGATCCGTTTAAAAAGCTGTGGTTGAGTGATCGTTAAATTTGGAAAAAAGGTAATAAATAAAGGGACCCTATAAGTCAATAGATTCAAGTGTCAATAAGTATTGGAAATAAACAATAATAACAACATTTGAGTTTTGAAGCTTTCGCGGCCAACATTATTATTTACTACAGCTTCCGGATGGATGCCGCGTCTAGATTCAGCTACTTGCCGATGTTTTGCAAACATTGCAGTCTGCATCATCAGGGCTATACTGAGCACCTTATGAGAGTGGTCTCAGGTTTGAGTGGGGGGGTGGACATCGACGCATGCCTCAACTCGGAAGAGTGGGGATACCCAGTCAGGACCATTCTCATACGGTCTTTAGAATAGGTCGCTCCGATACTGGAGCTCCCCGTTGTAAGGAAGTCCTTATATCCTCCCTGACACCTGGAGGGGGTAGGTGGCGTGGTGGGGGGGTATCACAGCCAATCAAGATCGTTTTATTGATCAGCTGCTCAATTTTTTTTAATTGACCAGTTGATCAATTAAAACGATCTTGATTGGCTGCGATACCCCCCACTACGTCACCTCCCCCTCCAGGGGTCGGGGGATATAAGGACTTCCTTACAGCGGGGAGCTCCAGTACCGGAGCGACCTAGCCCTGATGATGCAGACTGCAATGTTTGCGAAACGTCGGCAGGAAGCTGAATCTAGATGCGGCATCCATCCGAAAGCCATCATAAATAATAATAACAACACTCGAATGCAGCCCGGCATCCAAAGATCGAAAGCAATGAATTGATGAAGGCGCCCTTGATTCAACAGCACGACTTTGAAAGAAAGTCGCCGGTTCTGAATTTTTTTTTAAGTCGAGCACGCCTTTGGCATCGACGATGGATTTTTCACACTGCATTCTATTTGTTATATTAGGAATTACTATCTTCCCACAGTAAAAAATAATTTCATATTTTTTCCGTGTACGAGTGATCACTCCGAAAGACAAACTATGCTCGTGGTCTCAACAATGGGACAGTCATCTTTTTCCCCATAGTTATCCATTATCTATTGCTCAAACGTGGTTATGACATCTCAAATTTCCAATGGTTCATAATTGCGGAATTCATTTTATTCATGTTCTTCGTGAACCTCTTATTATCCCGAGATAGTATCCTCCTATTATTATCGTGTTAATGACATATCCATTTTCTTATCATTGATACGATATAATAAATTGAAGGAAATTAATTGCATCAACAAGTGAGATGACCCAGAGAGGAACCTCGAAATTGTAGCCTCAATGGTTCGCTACTGTAACGAGTAAGCCAATTGACAGCAAATACTAAACTTTAACCTTAAAATACTCATTTTTCATGTTGCCGTCAAAATACTTGCTCTCCTGCATAGGCTAACGGGTGGATGGTGTTCACCATATTTAGCTAAATTAACAAAGGGAACTAAATCCTTGACCATCACTAATGACGAAGCCTCTTGGATTGCCTCCTCAATCCATCTGTCTCGGCCACTGGGTTCAATCACTGGAGCTGTGATAGTATACAAATATGGAAATAGATAGGGGATACTTCTTAGTGGAGTTCCACATGGCATCGCGTGGACATGCTTTCTGATAAAAGAATCAATTCCTTTGATTTATGCGTCGAGATTGTGCAGTGGTTTTGCAATATGAATGTATTCAAGTAGGTTTCCACTTTACATCGGTGAAATAGGAAATCCAAAGATCAGAGGTTCTCTCATAGGTATCGAACTCCGGGGGGGAGGCATTGGAAATCTAGCAGGACTTATTTTGGGTGCATATCATCAATGAGTACATTCGCCATTATAAGTTTTACAATGATCATCATTTTCGTCTCATATTTTTTATTGATTCCGGATAGTTCACATTACCTAGTTAAAAGGAACAGATTCGAAGACGCAGAGAAATCATTGAAGTGGTACAATCGACAAAAAATGTCAAATTTGAACTTGATGCATTGATAGCATATATAGGTGAACCACGGGAATTATCACCAAGAAAAACATGCAAGAAATTGTAAACACCACTGAAGCGAAAAGTTCTGATGAACATTCTTTGTTTTCATGTCATCATTTATCTAGATGGGTACATGTAGTTCGAAAATTCCTCCTAACGATTCCCAAGATGGATGTAATAGCTCCTTCACTAGTTGTAATATGTGCAGGAATAGTTTCGATTGTTAGCGGTCTTATGACGACATACACGAATGATCACTTTGGAAGACGGACAATGCTTGGGTTCTCCACTCTGGGGGTTTCTGTTATCTTCACTCTCATAAGTATCAAATTTTTGTTGATCAAACGTGGTTATGATATTTCGAATATTCAATGATTAATCATTGTTGAATTCCTGCTGTACATGTTTTTTTGTAAATATCGGAATTGTGGGTATTCCGTATTGTCTCGTGAGCGAACCTTTTCCGGCGGAACTAAAAGAGATTGGCGCAAGTAGTGTAGTAATGCCGGTTCTGGCACAACGTTTTTGGCGTCAGCCTGGTCGTTGGGGCCCAGTAGGGGGGTCAGATGAAAGTGGGTGAGTGGGTGGATGATTAATTCGCGGGGTCGCGGTTCAATTCGCGGTTTGATTCGCGGGGTCGCGGTTTAATTCGCGGTTTAATTAATTAATTAATTAACTATTTAATTAACTAATTAATTGACTAATTAATTAAACCACGAATTAAACTGCAACCCTCACAAGAAACCCCCAAGAAATTAATTCAAAAAAGAAACACTGTTTTTACTATTGTTTTTATTTCACCTTACATAAAAATTGATGTTCATTCCAATCGCCTTCTTTTTACATCAACACCATCACCCTCGTCCATTTGCTCATTCATTGGCTCGTCAATGGACTCTTCCTCCGTGGACTTATCAGCGTCTTCATCACCCCTGAGGAACCAATCATCACGCTCATCCATCGGCTCATCAATGGGCTCTTCCTCCATGGGCGCATCAACGTCTTCTTCATCCCGTATGAACCAATATTCATCATTATGCCTTGTGAGGGTGGC